AACAGGATGCGTGTGTAGGAGACCAGCACCAAGCAGAGGGGCCCCAGTAAGATAAAACACAAGCTGAAAAGATGACAACTTGGTTAAGGCTGGTGTCAGCACAGGCTAGCTTGAGGACAGACAGGATTTCACAGAAGAAGTGGTTGATTTCATGAGGCCCACAGAAGGGCAGTCTCAGGATGAGAACTAAATGGACCAGAGCCAGGAGGAAGCTAAACACCCAGGAAGTGATGGTCAGGACCGAGCACACTCTCCAGCTCATGATGATAGTGTAACGTAGGGGGTGGCAGATCGCCACGTACCGATCGTAGGACATCACCACCAAAATCAGACACTCTGTGTGAGCAAAGGCTAGATATAAAAATGTCTGCATAATGCAAGGAACAAAGGAGATGGTTCTCTTCTGACTAACTAGATTTGCCAGCATCTTGGGGACATTGTTGGAAGCATAGGACATGTCAATGATGGCCAAGTGTGACAGGAAGAAATACATGGGGGTGTGCAGTCTAGAGTCTGAGCAGATAAGCCCCAGGATGACTCCGTTCCCCAGAAGGGTGAGGGTATAGAAGAGAGAGAAAAGTCCAAAGAGGAAAGACTCCAGGACTGGATCAACCTGGAATCCCAGCAGGGTCACTTCTGTGATCCACGTCTGGTTGCCGTCCATGCTCCTGGGCAGAGACAGACAGGTCCACGTCCACAACTGGAAGGTCAGAGCTGTAGGGAAATGAAGACACAAAATATTTACTGAATGTTACAAATTGACATTTACAAATGTATTACTTTGGATGGATTTTCTATAATTTATTTTTAGTTGTATTGTTTAAACTAAATAGGTTTGCTCATACAAATTATCAAAAATTTCCCTTTGTATCAAATGGATATTAGAATCTTAGAACTTATTATAGATAAGATATATTTTAAGATAACATTATAGGATTTATTACTATATAGTCTACCTAATAGCATATACACATGTGCACACTTACGATGTTTTGAAGAAATCAAGTTTCTTGGTTTCCCTTCAAGACTATTAGACCTTGGGACATTGTGCTTGGACACCAGAAACTGATACATTGTAACTGACTACACTTCAGTAAAAAGAGAGTATTAGTCTTGATTTTTAATGCAGTTAGAAGAGGGATGAACTTGACAAACCACATGCAGTAGGAGGTAGTGTCATTTTCTAGGCTTGCTTGACTTCTTGGTCCAAGGTATGAAGTGATGAGGGTCCTCTGTTCTTTGTATGTTGCTTATGTATCCACTCAATTTCTCACATGCTTTTCTACCCATTTGTTGGAGTTTTGAAATTCTCTTCGAAATAACTCCTCAATGTTGCAGTGGATTTATAGCTTTGTAAGCCCCTTATTTTCAGAAGCTGACTAACACTCCCTTGTAATGTATTCTGGCGCCTCATTTGCATCTCTGATGTTGTAGTTTTATCCTGAGTTTTATTTGCCTCTTTATCAGCACTGGATACTGAAGTTTAGGCGTAAGTGAAAGAATTCTTGGCTACATGCGTGGAACACGTGGGTATATTTGTCTTCAGTGCAGTTAAACATCATAATATTTCTGCAGCCTTTTCAAGATTGCAGTTCAAATGGGGAAAATGAATTTACATTAAGAGTGGATATATTTAAAGATGACAACTATACTCTAATTTTTTTTTTTTTGGTTTGGGGGTTTTCTGTCTTTTTAATTGTATTAAGAGACAAATTCACAGCTAATCATATGTTCTGCTGTGACAGAATCTTTTGTCATCATGACATCTTCTCAGCTATGACAACTCCCAATGCCATCAAATTCCCTGAAGTCCTTCCTCACCACCTGTTTCCAGCTGACCACCTACTGCTGTCCTGATGGCTTGTGAGCAGGTTACAGGTCGTGAGACAACTAGAGCATCAGTTGGTTAGTCCTCCCTTGGGAGGTCCTCCTAGGAGGTGCCTGGGTCTATTCAGAGGGGGACTGGTCATAAAAGGGATGGATGGAAACATCACATCACTTGGAGAAACCACATAACCACATGCTGTCTCTAACGTTCCTCATATTTTTTTTCCCAGAAACAACCTGAACTATCATGTTTTAATTAGGTTAAAGTTTCAAATCCAAAAGAATATTTAAAAAACAATTTTGGTGTTTTCTTTTAGAAAACTTTAGATCCCTAATTCATATTTTAAAATTGGGATTTTATTATACTGTTTTAAACCTACCACTTTCATTTAACATATGATAACGATTTTTATATATTAAATCAATACTTTACAGATCTTATTCTAAATTAGTGAAATATTCTATTACATCTCAATTTATTTAATTTCCTATTGTTGGAAATTCTTATTTCCTTTATGTTTGGTAGCACTGACAATAATAATCTTTTAAACCGAAGTGCTATCTATACTCATGGTTATTGTTTTAGGACATGTTCTAAAAGTGATACTGCAGATGCTAAAGATAGATACCTGTCAAAACTTTTGATACCTGTTACCAACCTCAACGTAGAAAATTGGTACCAATTTCTCCCTCTGACAGGGTATAAGAATTATGCCTCTTTACCACAATATCACCAATACTGCGTAGTACCAATTTTAACTTTTGCTAAGTCAATATGTGAATAATTTTATACCATTTGAATTTATATTTCAACAACTCCTTAGCACATATTCCTTGAGTGCAACACCTGTTCCAGCCTCTGATCTAAGCTCTGGAGGAAGAGTAGTGGATGAGGTGGACATATTCCACCGGGAGACAATGAAGAACAAGGTGATATATCCTCCTCTAACCTCACATGTCCATTTAGTGGAGAAACCTCTCTAACCTGGATGGAACCACCTTGTGTTACACCTGCCCCTCTCTGTCCTCTGACTTATATGACTTGTGAGACAGGAACAAGGAGCTGAGGATGCCAGATGCCCCTTCTCTGCTCTCCTTTTTTGTCACATACATTTCTACCCTTCAGGTTAAATCCTACAGGAGTATGTTCTGTCCCATTTAGGGGTGGGGTTGGCTAATGGTTGGGATTTGTTTTAAATTTTGTTAACGAGAGAAACCATATTTTCTCAATAAGCCTCACTAATAAAATATACTTTTAATTTCTACCTGATTTCTGCGTCTATTTCTCAATTTATTTTTTCAGATTTGGAGCAAGATGAAGTTATGCTTAATTATACCTGTAAAATACCAGGTGTAAAAATAAATAATAATATACTTGTTCACATCAAAAAGTAGTATGGAGGAAACAAACAAAAATAAATGAGGGAAACTGACCTGGTTTGAAGGGGCTCCTTTAGATGGGACTGTCAGGAAAAGTCTTCCTAAATAGGAGACACAAGGGTGAAATCTGAATGATGAAGGGGAGTCCACCCCAACAGCAGCCAAACCAGGCCACTCCGTGCACAGGAGAACAGAAGAGACAGAGTCCTGGGCAGGAAGGACTTGGTGAGTCTTGGGAACAGAAAAAAATCCAATGTACCCAAACCATAATGACCAAGAGGCTGTAAATATTCATTGTGATCCTGCTATACTTTTGAAAGTTTGGAATTGATATTAAAGCTTATGAATTGGAGATGGATTAAAATATCTGGCTAATTTTTAGAACATGGAATATTATGCATCACCATTTAAAAGGACAATATGGATCTTTATATGGTGAAATGAAAAATGTTATACGTAAGTCAAAGAGTGTGTGTATAATATGTTTCAATTTATATTTTACAATATAAACATATCCATACTTATGTCTGGGGGGCCTATTTACAAATATGTGAGAAAATCCTATAAGTTAAACATCAAAGTGCTTATACTGATTACCTCTAGAAAGTAGGATTATGCAGGGTCTTCCTTTTGTGCATATCGTTAGCTTATTGTTTGTTTGCTTTTTAATAAACACTATGCCTTGTGCAGGGGGAAAATAAGACATTTCCATTTTGGAAAAATCCAGTATGTAAAATAGAACTAAAGTTGCATGTTATTCCTGCTCAGTCCTGAGTAATACCAAGTCTAACAGAAATCTCAAGTTTAAGTAGATTTTCTTAGAGTTTCAAGTGGGAGAAATAAGTGATTGCACTATGACAATAGTTAACTTTTGACAGGAAAGGGGAAATTAAAAACTTCAATCTCGTTTTTCTTTAGAAATTTTTTCTGTCCAAATAGAGAAAAAGATCAAGATTTTCTGTTGCCTAATGAGAGAAAAAGATCTTAAATCAGGTTGAAAATCAATGCAACATCCACCAAAATGTGAAGAGGAGGACAAACAAAGCCAAGCTCTGATGCTGCACAGGTCACTGCGACCTTCGTCATGCAGACAATTACCTCCCAGCGCCCTTCACTTTTCTTACCTATAAAGTAGCTTCTGGGGATTTCAGGTTAAAAAACCAAAACACTGAAAACAATAAAACCAGTACCTGTAAATTCAGAGTCAGAAGTGACAAGGAATTTGACTGTCATCTAGTCCAGAAATCTTTGCATCAATTACTTAGAATAAGTCACTTAGAATCAGCCTGTTTGATAGAGGGATCACGTATCCAAGGTCAGCTCACAAAAACTTCCTCTTTCCCCTGATACCACCCCAGTGACACAGGCCAGCATTTGCCCCTGTGAATTCCCTTTATTTATATTTCTGGGGTTACCAGTGTGCTCACAGGTAGATCAGAGTGCCATGAAACTGCACATTTCAGAGGCGTTTACCCTCCTGCACGTGCACATCTGTGTCTATGCCTACGTGGACTTAGTGTTCCTCTTATAAGCAGGTGGCCTCTTACACTAAGTTCCAAGGTCTTGAGTGAACACTTGACTGGAGCTCCCAAAATGTCAGCAAATTGTACTCAGTAAAATATCTTACCAAGTCACTGAAATGTTACTGAATTGATTTTATTTGAGCTGATAGGTATACTTTTAGTCATTCTTATTAATTGATTTATGTATAAATTCATGTAAACAGAACAAAATTAATGGATACATACTGCTGACTGGATTGATCCCAAGAGCAGATACAAAATGGGAAACTGTCCACTTTTCCAGACAATACAAATCCAACGGCAGAATGGAATATGGCACTTTGGGGATACACCAAGTATTATGTTAATTCGTTCCTCTGAAGCAAGCTGAAAAGGTTGGCTTAGAGAGTTCTTAATCCCTGGGATGTTGAGGGGATGGACGCTTTGTGAATTTTTAAGTCTCATTTTGAATAATACATTCTGTCATTAAGGAAGCAAGGAACAAAATAACAGAAAATTAGAAAATTAATTCAGGGAAAGTCCCCTTAGCATATCTTCACAGCTATAAAGACAGAGGAAGTGGAGAGACTAAATTTCTTTTCAAGGAGACTGTTTGAAGGAGTCATAGGAGACCTCCTGGAGGGGAAGTGTGGGTGAGAGCTGGAAGGGGAAGGCCAAGCAGACTGAGTTGGGCCTGGGCCAAGGAGGCCTGCGTGAGCCTGCGATGGATCCTGGGACAGCAGCCAAGGAAAAGCCCAGGGTGCTCAGCGGTGATGTGAGCACCTGTGTTCCCAATGCACCCGGTGCAGGGATCTAGGATAGCAGGCACGTGGATGCTTCAGCTGTCCCACATGCACGACATTAGCCTTCCTTTACCAAACGCCTAGAATCATTTGACTAATCAAAGTTCAAAATTTAAACACTATGCATTTATGTAAGATTTTTTGTGAGAAATTTTT